TTTTGAGTATTATAAGGCTATTAAAGTGCGATTTCTGTATTTCTCCCATAAATATATAAATAAATATAAGTTCAAGATAATTAACATAAATATCACACATTTTATTATAATATTACAACATAAAAGTTTTAAAAACATACACAATAATACAATCACACATAAAAAAATACTGATTTTGAACATTCTTTTTAAAGTAAACACACAATAACAGAGCAAATAAAAATATTTAAACAGTATTAGTTCCACCAAAGGCCACCTCATCACCAATTTGAGCATCATCTATGTAAAAATCAAACACATCAAATTTAGGCAAAATTAGATTGACGTCATTAGCATAATTAGCCCCCATATTTTTTTCCTTTTACTTTTGTGGAAGCTTGGCATAATTTCACCAAGATTTTTTCCATTCGACATTCATTAGCCCAATATTCTCTTATGCCACATTTAGAGCATTTACCACTTGATTTTGGTTTTTCATGAGTTTTAGCATGTGGTGGTTTGAAATTTTATTTTCCCTTAGAGGATGATCTATTTGGATTTTTGTATCCGTTATTCAGTTCTTTGTTGCGGCCACTTCTGCGTCTACGTTTAAAGTGTCCATGTGCACCACCATAGATAACATTTGATTTTGGTGCCGATCCACGATCAAGATTGCCAAAATTTATAGGGCTACAACCGGTGGGCCTCATATAATGATTTTTCATTAATAGCTCATTATTCTTCTCACCAACAAGTAATACTGAGATTAACTCAAAATACTTTTTAGAACATTTTTCACTGTGTTGCTCTAATATCACATTTGACATATACATGGAGGAAAAGAAATTTTCAAATGTCATGATCGGTGATATTATATCCACATAATTTTAATGTTTGACATCACTTTGAAAATAGCAAAATTATAGTCACAAAATCCTAAATTGATCCATTCGTATTGAGCTCTGGACAATATGACTCCATATCTTTCTTGGAGATTATCCCATCCTTCGAATCTTCCACCAATAAGTATTAAGATTTTAAGCTTTTGTGAGTGTGGCGGTAAAGGAAAATTATGGGTCTTGCCTTTTTTTGGGATGATGTTGTATTATTTTCAGTAATTGTATTTTTTAGATCATTTGCCTTAAATTAAGGTCAGCAATGACATAAACTCTCTATTCCAAGTACTTTTGACCAGATAAATCAAGAATGTCAATCTCTCTTTTGGTAATGTTGGACATTTGAAAAAACTACAAAATAAATTTAGTTTATTAGATTTTTTCGTAAAAAATAATATAGATGTTAATTTATTTATTTAATCATTTATTTTCTAAAAGAATTCTACTATAGTTTAGTTGGCATGGTTTAAAAGTATCACATGCATCCTAAATAAAATACAGACACACAATTATTTTGATGAGATATAGATGTAGCTGTAGAAATTTGTAAAAGATTGAAATTGCCTTTCATTGAGTATTCACCACGTATAAATACAAGTAGGTTTCAGGCTGCTTTGGGCCAGACCCGATTACATACAAGGAAAGATAGAAACATGGAAATATACAAATATGGGAATATAACTATATATTCTAACACTCCCCCTCAAGTTGGAGCATGGAGATCACAAATGCTCAACTTGGAGAGCAAGAAAGAAAAGAGAGGTCTGTTCAGAGCTTTGGTGAACAGATCGGCTAACTGCAAGCGAGTACGAACATAGGTTGTGGTGATCTCTCGGCGCTGAACGCACTCACAGACGATATGGCAATCAATGTCGATATGCTTCATGCGCTCATGGAAAACAGGATTAGCAGCAATAAACAAAGCAGATTTATTATCAAAAAATAAGCGGGGCGTTTTTGGTGGAGTAACACCAAGCACACCAAGAAGGCCCCGAATCCATCGGACCTCTGCACAAGCGTTAGCCATACCACGATATTCAGCTTCGGCGGAGGAGCGTGACACGGTATAGTAGTTTGTTTCTTTGTTTTCCAGGAAACTGGAGAACACCCAAGTTAATAAAATAACCACTAACAGACCTGCGAGTAAGAGGACAAGATGCCCAGTCGGAGTCACAATAAGCAGACAACGCTTAAAGATGTTTAGATAAGAGATATATCAATCAATAGAGCATCCTTTTCAATTATTCTCAAAACCTTATCTCTTTATATTAGTATGATTTAAAGTCCTTCCAATCTCTTTAAAATTTAGAAGAGCTTTATGGGAGAGAAAAAAATAGTCTCAAGTAAGTTTATGTGTGTGTGGCGTGTGAAGAGATAACGACGAAGAAGAAAAAAATATTTCTCTAGTTTCAAAAATGGGAGGAAGAGAAAACCAAATCAAAGTAAGTTTATCTAATACTATCTTCGATCTACCCGTTATGTTTATTTTAAAATAACTATGAGTTTCTGATATGAGGGATCTCTAATGTTGGGATCTCTAATTAAGAAAAAAATATTTTATTTCATATAAAAGTTCTTGAAAAAAATACCTTCTAGGAAGAACAAGATTCGAGAAGAACAAGATTTTTGGGATGAGAGAAAACATACTCATAAATTATGAGAATAGATATAATATATTTTTGATTTCTTATCTCTATTGATATTTCTCTCTTCTTGTTCTTAATATTGTTTTGTAGGAATCCTAAGTCTTCTATCTATAGTGGAGAGGCTTAATGGTAACACTATTACAAATAGTATACATACAATAAAAAGAGTAATGCTAGAGTCACAAACAAACATTTCACAAAAGTCACAAATTTGCCTTTTTAATATTTTCCTAGAAATAAGATGCACTCAAATATTAAAAGATATTTTAATTTAAAATCCACAAAATGTAAGTTTGTAAAGTTTGTGACTTTAGCATTTCCCAATAAAAATGGCAACTTGATGGTGATGATACACAATTTTTACCTGCACTATGATGGAGTATGACCTAATTAATTGATAAATGAACAATTTATATATTTCTTAACATAAACAACATTTTTAAAGAATATATATTGTGTCTATTGTTGTGTACTAGTTCTCTAACCCGTGCGTTGCACGGACTGTATGTTGAGTCAGTGAAAGAAAATAAAAAAATAAATCTATATTGTAAATAAAGACAACACAACGAAATTATATTCGAATATTGAGGAATGTATTATATACTAATATTGAGGAATGTATAGTGAAAACAAAAAAACGAAATTAAAGGTTTTGAAAGACTTCCTTGTACACTATATTTCTAAATCAAGTTAAAATAAATGTTGAACAAAAATAGCGTACAATATTATAATCAATTAAAATATCAAGTCAAACACAAAATTTGAGGATGAGATGTGATTTAAAAATAACCCTAGAAAAGCGGTGTTTCTTTAATGAAAATAGGTCAAAAGCATTTGACATTATCAGAGCCCATTACACGCTTTTTAGTGTAAAGTTATATCATGCTTTTACCATTTTCCCATAAACTGTTACACTTTTCCATAAGTATTTATTTAAATTATTACACTTTTCCAAAAACTTTTCATCTTTCCCATAAACTTTTATACTTTCCCATAAAATATTTATTTAAGTTACATTTTTCCATAAACTTTAACTCTTTCAAATAAACGTTGACACTTTCTCATAAAGTATTAATTTAAGTTACACTTTTCCATAAATTTTAACTCTTTTTCATAAACTTTTACACTTTCTCATAAAATATTTATTTAAGTTACACTTTTCCATAAACTTTAACTCTTTCTAAAAAATTTTTACACTTTCTCATAAAGTAATGATGTCTTTACATTGGAATACATGAAAAGAGTGATCAAGCCGTCAAATTTCGTCTCCCAATAGGCGTACCTCTTAAGCGCATTAAATGCATTTACTATTTACCATAAAGTGTTACACTTTCGCATAAGTATTTATTTAAATTATTATACTTTCCCATAAACTTTTAATTTTTCTCATAAATTTTTATATTTTCCCATAAAATATTTAAGTTACATTTTTTCATAAACTTTAACTCTTTCCCAAAAACTTTTACAGCTTCTCATAAAATATTTATTTAAGTTACATTTTTCCATAAACTTTAACTCTTTTTCATAAACTTTTACACTTTCCCATAAAGTATTTATTTAAAATATACTTTTCCATAAACTTTTACTTTTTCTCAAAAATTTTTATACTTCCCATAAAGTAATGATGTCTTACATTGGAATACGTCAAAAGAGTGGTAAAAAGTAATGATGTCTTTACATTGGAATACGTGAAAAGAGTGGCCAAGCCATCAAATTTCGTCTCCCAATAGGCGTGTCTCTTAAGTGCATTAAATGCATTGAACTTTTGGTTCATGGCTCAAGTCTTTTTCACTAACCAATAAAGTGAAAATTTACTTTTTTCTCCCTTTGTATATTGGTAGATTGGTTAATGGTATTGGTTTCAATTTACCTTTGTATTGGTGGATAGAGGTGATGATCAATGTTATGTGCTAGGTTCCAACATTAAACTCATCAACTATATGTCTATATGCATCATTAACTTATCCAATTGATAAGCTAAAACCTATAAGAATTTTCAATTCTTTTATTTTGAGACCTAGCAATGACATGATTGCGGTCAAGTAGTGAACATGAAGAGCATATTCATGCGATGCACAGTGGGCAATCTGTTTCAATATTTGAAAAACAAAAACTTCATAAAATAAAAATGTTTGACTTACATTAAAGGGAAAAAAACCAAGAGAGCTATACAAATAAAATTCAGTCCTACAGACCCAGTACTACCAATCCAATATATAAGAGAAATACAACCCAAGCAAGGTTGGCAAGGATGCAAGGCTATACAAAATAAGAGGCAAAAGCCTGAAATGATTCTCAAAAAGGTACGCAACTCTAACCAAAATCTATGTAAAATCTACATCCATCTCCTTGAATGTCACGGAACCTTTACCAAAATTTGGTTTTTTTTCCTATGACCTTCATGCCATGCAATTGTGTCATCAGGATCCATCACACAAACAGGTTCTTCAACAATTACATTTGTTCTCTCTTCACAAAATTGTGCACTGGTATTTGATTTTAGCGGGAATCTTGCAGCGAGCGACATAATTAATGGCAGAACTGCGCGAAGGGCGAATCCCATGTTTGAATTTGAACATAAGTTGACAACAATTAAGCTAATGTAACAAATCTTAAAGTCACAATGAATACAGAGTAGAAAAGAGCAGGTATAATACCCAGGAATCTCAATATCCAGATTTAAGAAGAGTAAATGAAATATTTAATTCAAGAAAATAAGCTCCCCCCTTTACCTTACCTTGTTCTGTTGGAAGACAGTCCACGGTTGCCACAATCCATCTAGGTCTAAACCCTACCTGCATTGCTGTTTTTGGATGGATAATCAAAATTGAAGCGCCTGACTTGCCACAACCTTCGTCGTAGCAGAATCCAATCGTTTCAAAACCCTAGCCCAGGGCATGGTTTCCGGCGAGCAGTGAGCAGAGAGAGAATCTAGTGGCGGAGATTGAGAGAAGCATGAGCGGAGGACCTCCTTCAGTCCCTAAATATTCACAACATTTGCTTTTTCAGCAGTCGCGAGAACTTTTTTTTATTTCGACGTTTTCATTGGTTATTTGATAAAATAAAATATTCTTTACACCTCTTATTTCGAAAAACTTTTCATGTAATTTTTTTATATGTAAATTTTATTTTTTATTTCTATACCAATATGTAAATAAAATGAATTGAAAAAACTTGATATTTTACCTCGGAAATACAAATGTGGCAAATAATTTGGGACGGAGGGAGTAGTTGTTTAGCTTCTCCTACACGATCTCTCTAATCGAGGAAGTACTGTTTTTCTTTTTACAGATTACTTCTCCCCATACGCTCTCTCCAATCGATGAGACAGAGCGTTGTTCAATTTCAACTGTAGCTTTGAGCGGGAAACAGCTACTGTTCATGTTTACCTTTTATCTTTGTATATTAAAAGATGTAGGGTCCGTCTAGTTTAGAGGAAACACTTTTACGAAAAAATTTGATTCTATTTTTCCTAATGGTCGGAATATATTGTCTAAAGAAAAATATTTCTCACATCAGGAGGAAAATGAAGGAAAGCTGTTACTCAGCCTCAAGCGTTGCCCCCATCCACCACCCCTACCTCCGCCCTCTCCTATATATCATGTCACCCCCGTTAACCCCCATTGTGCAACCCCTACCCCTCGCTCCCTCCTACCCACCCTAATATCCCCCGTTCACACCCAGCTCACCTATCCACCCCCTTTGCATTGCAATCTTAAAAAAGACAACATTTGCGCATTTTGAGATCATGAATGAGCTTATCTTGTTGGTTTTTATGTCTATTGCTTGAATGCTATTGACTCTATTACAATGTAGCTCTCAACCTAATGAGGCACAAATAGCTAACGCATTCGCTGAGGCTCGAATCTGGATGAACTTCACCATGAATCTTGGAAAAAAACATCATATATACCACTCAAGCCATGAGAGAAGATTGTATTTTATTTAAAATATGCGATTATTTGAAGCAAGTTGAGAAACAATGAGATTATTTTTTGTAAACACCACTATAATTTTTTTGTGTATCTGTTTATATTTTGTTTAACCTAATGATACACAAAGAGCCAATGCAAGTGAACTTTCCATTAATCCTGTGGAATAAGCTTCCTACCACTCAAGGTAGATGAAAAGTTCACACCACTTCAGTTTTAATTATTTAAAAATATTGTATTACTTCTAAATTTATTCTTTTACAGATTAAAATACAATTTTTTAAATGGAATTTTAAAAAAAAAGGTACATAATAATATGTCGTATTCTATATTTAATCCCTACTTATCAAAAATGAAAACCGTAGTTTGTACTTCTTTACTCTCTTTCCACGAATGGTCCCCGTAACTTCCTGTTAATTGAACGGGTTAAAATTGTAATTTCTCACCCTTCACAAATCGACGCTTACGGGATTAAACCGCCCAAGGGCCACGGGATTGCTTACAGATTAAAGTAACTCGAACCCAAAAACTCGTGAATCCATCAACCTGTAACTCCACCCGTTCATTGATGTCCGGTTCAGGATTTCAAACATTGATGAGAAATCATGCAGATAGAAACCGTTGTTCCCATAGCAATATCACACCATATTATGTCCATATTATATAAGGAGACTTTAAACAAAAAGAAATGAGAATGGAAAGTGGATTATGCTCAAGGATCACATTGTTGTTATTACTACTATTATTATTATTATTATTATTATTATTATTATTATTATTATTATTATTATTATTATTATTATTATTATTATTATCAAACAACACTTGAATTGAAAACATCGCTTTTACTTATTGAGCAGGCAAACTCATTTGGGCATCAAGATGATGTTGCAGTTTCATGCAGCGCTTTCACCTTGGTGATATAGTCATTCATAGCTTCATCCTTGGTTTTTCCTGCATTGAAAAAAGGTTTACATTAATTATATTTATCAAGGCTTGTATTGTAAAACCGAATTTCTATTTGTTCTTCGAGGAAGGGAGATTTCGCATCCAAGATATATTGCATTTCCCATACCTTCGACAGCCTTCCATGCATCCCACTTTGCTCTTTCCTTCATACTGAAAATACCCGGACGATCTGTTTCTTAAAAAAAACCCAAAAACTCAGCAAGATAAAGAAGAATTTGAGGACAGAAATACAATAAAAGTTGGTTTTGACAAAGTGATAAATCACCCGTGTTCACTTTTCCAACCGTAGCTTGTTTGTAAAGTCCATAGAGAATGAGCTGGTCTTCATTGGGAGTACTTTCAGGCAAGAGCTTAGCTTTCGCGGCGTGCTCTTCAAATTCCTCCTGAAGATCAAAACAAGGTGTCAAGCTCAACTCTAGCTATTTACAGTACATCTCAACAGGAAACATGTATTATAATCTCCATTGAACTTCAAACTTCTCTTTAGAATGTTTCATAAAAGCGGGTATGTTCAATCAGTGCCTGTGTGGACTTCAAAATATTTTAGACTATAAAAGTGATTGAATTTCATTTTCAGCGAAATCTTTAAAATTCTCACATTTTTTTAAGCAATAACGTAATACTTCATCCTCATTTGGTTAATGATGTTTGATTGAAGCTGATTTTGTTGTAGAATAAAACAATGAAACTTATAAATAAACAAATGGTTACTTGACTATTTTATTTTATCAAATCAGATATCATTTTATTTTGTGTTTTTTTCAAACATGTAGACATGAAATATTAAAAATTAGGATTCAAATGTGTTTCTTTTGTCAATTTCCACTGCATAGATTTTTCATGTTTGCAAATGCATAAATGAAATCATTAATATCCTCAAATACTCCCTCCCTCCCACTTGTTTTTTACACTTCTCATTTTTGTTCGTCACATTCGAATCTTTACACTTCTTTTTCTTTCACTTTATATGACATGAAACCAATACCGCACTTCCAAATTTTTAACAACCCCAAATTTTCCCTTTTACTGTATATCAATACCTCCCGTTTACTTTTTGATCACATCAAAAGGTCATTATTTCTCTCATTAAACACCATGAAATCTTCTAAGCGGGAGAGAGGGACTACATTCTAGTACAAATTATAAAAAAAAATGGTACTACGAAAGCTTTAACCTAGACGAATCTAAGAAAATCTCATGTGGTTATTCTTTTTTTTTACACATTAATTTACAAATGGTTTACCAAATCATTCATTCACCAACTCTATGCAATGTGCAATTTCATCACAACTATCATGGTGCAAGCAAAGCATATAACTTGGGTTCCTCCTCAAAATCACATGTCAGATGCAAAACTAAAACCAGAATTCAAATAGACATTTTAAACCTAAACTTTGGAATCAAAAGGCAAAAAAATCCCAATTGGGGGAGAAAAATGGGAAATTTTGCAGAGGACATGATCGACACATTGCACCAAAAACGGGGGCAAAAAATCACAAGCAAACACAGATTTGTTCAAGAGAAAACGGATGCATGAGAAAACATTAAGAAATTAACTTGGATCTAAACCAAATGGGAAATTAATTTTACCTTCAAACCCATATTTTTTGAAGCCAATTTCGAAAACTTTGATCTGCTCTTCGAGAATCTATGGAGATGAGAAGACTAGCAGTTGCGTGCGGTGAAATATATAGATATAGTACAACCAATCTCGATTTCTATTCTTAGGATGCATTGGAAATATCGACGCCACGCACGTACATCACTTGCGCTGTCGTACCACTTTTTTTCCCTTTAAAGGTGTAATATTAGGTAGGGGGCAAAGGAAAAACCAAACCACCATGGTGCGGAACCGGACCATAATCATATTTCAATGAGATTTTTTTTTTGATTTTGAACTGATTTGAAACGAGATGAGTTTGGGATGTAAAAATATAAATGATCATTGTTTTTGTTAGACAATAATACTAATACTACTTCTGGAGTATTGGTTATGGTAGTGTTTGATTATTAATCGGTTTCCTATTCTTATTTGTGGTAGATGTTGTATGTTAGTTAGTTTCCATTCTCTATTCATAGTTGTGTTAGAAGTCTCTTCTATATATAATCTATCATGTATTTCATAACTCAAGGAGCAATATTATTATTCCAATATTTCAACATGGTATCGATCAGAGCCACCGCTCTTGGTGACCTAAAAAAAGTTATTTGCTCTCACCGCCGCCGCCGGTAATTCCGGCGATGGCGGTTCCACCCTATTCACCTCTATTTTCTTTTTACTTCTTTATCCTCAAATCAATTTCTCCATTCAAATGAAAAAAAACTCTGTTGAAATCACATAAAAAAACTATCAAAGGAGGAACTTCTTTCTTGTCATCTCCATGGTTCTTCAAAAAAAAACCCCAACTCCTCACAAACTCTCTAAGATCATCATATCTTCTCAAAAAAAAGAAAAAAAAATGATTGTTGTTTATCTCCAATTCACCATATCAAAATCTCAGACCCAATTTTTTTTATTCCAACTCCAATTCTTAACCTACTTTTCTTTCTCTAAAATCACTCATTCTAATTATCAACCTTCCTTCTCTTTCTCTTTTGTTAAACCAATAAAAATCCAAAGTAAATCAGCACAAAAGCAAAGCCACGAAGGGAAGCAGTGAAAGAAGAAATAAGACCTCTATAACTCAGTCATTCAAGAAGAAAATAGGGCATTGCCCGGATCCAAGAAAAAGAAAAAATGTCAAGGATCTTCAGTCAAACAAGCACCTCCAGTAGCTTTCTCTATTCTTCTTCGACGTTAGCAGCTACAAGCGCACGTCAACGTTCTCTCTTCTTCATCGACGTCAGCAGCTACTAGCGCACGTCAATTTCTCTCTTCTCCAACGACGTGAGCAGCCACCGGCGCATTCAGACTTTTCTCTTCTCAAAATTTCCAGTTTCCAGCTAGTGTCCAAACTTCCTCTTGCTTCAGCCAGAGTTCAGCTTGAGGGGAGATGTTAGACAATAATACTAATACTACTTCTGGTAGTATTGGTTATGGTAGTGTTTGATTATTAATCGGTTTCCTATTCTTATTTGTGGTAGATGTTGTATGTTAGTTAGTTTCCATTCTCTATTCATAGTTGTGTTAGGAGTCTCTTCTATATATAATCTATCATGTACTTCATAATTCAAGGAGCAATATTATTATTCCAATATTTCAACAGTTTTCGAGTGCTAACTAGGTTATGTTTATTAATAGTCCAAATTTGTATTTGCATTTCAATATTAGAATTGTGGATGCTTGAATTTTTAGAAATCATCCTAAATAGGACTAAAATATAGTGAAAATATCAAAATAAGATTTTCATGTTTTTATTCTCGAAATAAGCACTGTGATAATGTGGCACTGTACATTTGCACATTACTATACTTTTTGCTAATTTACATGACCATGTTTGGTAATGTAAATTCATTTTAACTCCTATTTCGGGAACAAAAAGATGGAAGTCCTTTTTTGATATATTTTCAATGTTTTACTCCTACTTTTGTCTTTTTCCCTTGAATTTTTTGAAAGGGCTTTAGCTATTTAGCATGATATTATATGTTGTACTTGTACCATTTCCTTTAAATCGATGTCGTACCCTTTTAATAAGCGCAACCCCTAATCGGTTCCATGAAACCTTTCTCCTTTCTTTTTTTATCCGTCCCACAAAACACTTCTCATTTCTATTAAAAAGTCACTTTTACCCCTTACTTTTTCATACCCTAACTATCACATCATACCTTTTTACTAATAATATATCCATCAAATCATACTTTTACCCATCACATCAAAGGACATTTTTGGAAATTCAATACTAAAATACACTCTCTTAAATCCCTCCTAAAAAGCAAAAGTCCCATGTTTCATGAGACGGAGGAAGTATTAAATTACTCTGTATTTAAATTTTAATCCAATGGGCCAGAATTATTGATGTCGTAAATTTAAATTTATAGTTTATTCCTGCATGCAGCAAATAAAGCATGCTAAGTAAACATATTAATGAATAAAGTTTGATCATGTGAATAATGTCTAGCAATTCATTTCTGGAGAGGAGTAATATTTGAAAACTATGTTTCAAAAGAAACTTATTGATGTTAAATACATATCATAATTCAATGTTTTTTAAGTGTAATTTTTAGTCAAAATTTAAAAACATGAAAATCAAACTAGGAACTAGGAAGAATAAAAACCGACGGAGGGAGTACTCTATTTGTCTACGAAAATGTTTCCAAATTTGATTGATGATGTTTGATTGAATTTGTTTTTAATTTAAATTACTTGATTTTAAATTAGAAAGTTCAAGTGAAGGACCTTGTAGTCCAATGACACTGCTATGACTCTCCCAAATGAGGGGTTATGTGTTCGATCCCCAGTGCGGACGGTAACTCTATGAGCTTAATAGGTTAAAAATGTATGAACATATATTACTTTGTAATAGAGTTATTAGTTTTCAAAAATTAGAAAATTCAAATATTAAATGTATATACATAAAATTACATTATAAAATGAGTAGAAAATAAGTGAAAAAAATAAATAAATTTTGACCGTGTGAATAGTTAACGGGAAGATACAATTCTAAATGGTGAGAACTAATGCTTTAAATCATTTATATTTCTTAATGAAATAATACGCTTAATGAAAAAATGTGAAACTTGTGATGTTGCTGTATTATTTTCAACACTTGTGTTTTATAGACCATTTGCCTTAAGTGGAGCCATGACATCAACTCTCCATTCCAGGTACTTTTGACCAGATAAATCAAGAACGTCAAACTCTCTTTTGGTGTTGTTGGACATTAGAAAAACTACAAAATAAATTTAATTTATTAGTTTTTTTTCATAAAAAAATAATATAGATTTTTATTTATTTATTTAATAAAACAATTCTACTATATATTGGTTTGCAGGGTTTAAAAGTATCACATGCATCCTAAATAAAATGCAGAGAGATTCATTTCACTATGTGAAACTCATTTCGTTGAACATAGTTTAACTCATTTCGTTGAACTATGTTCAACTCATTTGAAAGAGGTACGACCAAAGGGAGTCCCTTTCCCGTAGGTCGAGTGACTTTGTACCTCTCCCGTAGGTCGAGTGACTTCGTACCTCTTCGAGGTACGAAGTTGCTAGAGATTCGTTGAACTATGTTCAACTCATTTAGTCTCTAGAGAATTCGTTGAACTATGTTCAACTCATTTGAAAGAGGTGCGACCAACGTACAGAGAACAGAGATTCTCACAACGGCACGATGTAAGTTTACGGGCAGAGGCATACAGGTGTTTCTTTGATGCTGCGACATCAGTTTTGGAGGGTTCCATCTCTTTCGGTTGTGTCCTTTTTTATCTAGGAGGTGTATATGTGGCAGCGGCAAACGGAAAAAAACTTGGGCCTCAAGATCCTCTTTTGGCAGAACCTCTTGCTTGTAAAGAAACGTTGTCCTGGTTAATTGAGGACGCGAGGTATACGCGACGTTGAGATTCTTTGCGACTCTGAGGTTTCTGTGGGGGCTATCAAGAAAGGAAGGGCCTTTGAGTGCTACTCTTATCTAGGTTTCATCCTTGGCGACTAGCTGATTTATTATCTTCGTTTACACCTATTGACTTTCATTTTATTCGTAGGAATCGTAATTGTATTTCTCATACTCTTGCACGGTGTGCTACGTCCCATTTTGTCTCATGGAGTCGTACACCACCCAGTTGTATTGGACACTTGATTTCTTCTGAATGAAGTTTTGCTTAATTGCCGTAAAAAAAAGAAGTCCAAAACTCAACATCTTTAACTATAATAGAGTACTTTTTTTAAACTTAATTTACTAATCTCCACATTCTCAAAAACACTTTCTTTTTCATTTTTTCCACCTCCAACAAAACACTTCCACTTTTTATTAAAAAACCACTTTTATCCTTATTTTTGCATACTCTGCCTATCACATCATACTTTTTGTCTAATAATTCATCCATCACATCTTATATACTTTTACCCATCACATCATGGGCAAAATTGGAAGTCAACTAGAATTTAACACTTTCATATTTTTACACTTGATCAAAATAGGAACTCTTTTTGAGAACGGAGAGAGCATATACTTCGTGTACTTGATACATACGGAGTAGTATTTTATATTCTCAAAATCGTATTCTAAATAATACTCCATGAAGAACATTGAATTATGAAATTAATTTTCATGTTTTTAAATTTTGATAACTGCGATAGAGAAAGTACTATGTTGTTAATTCTCAAGCCATGTCTATTTTTTATAAGTGTAAAGCCTCACCCCAATGTATACCTTAGAATTTATGTCAAATTTCTAATAAGTTGCAATTTTAATTGCACCTAAATTAACTAAGAATTGAACTAAATGGCTAAAGTCAAATATTTTCAAAGTTATCTTTTTGTAATCAAATTTATATCTGGATTGTAGGTCTTGAAGAGACAAGTCCAACGGTGTATTCCATGTGAGAATCCAAGTTACAAAACATAGTAACCTGACCACCCCAAGAGCAAAAAGAAAGTAAAACTAAAGGAATAAAATATAAGTTTTTCATAACGATAAGATGATATAGCTATTATCAGTGCCGTTGGGTAGGTCTCGTGAAAAGATGACCAACGTCATATTATTTGTCAAGTTTGGACTTGTCTGCGGTGTAAAAAGTTAGGAGCGAAACAATGCAAAGAAAATAA